GCCGAGTCTCAGGATGTGTACGTAAAACATGCTCGCCGATCGGCACAGACTCCACGCAGGTAGCTCTCGTCGACTCTGCGAAGACAGTTTTGGGGCACATCGAATCTGAAGTCGATCTCCTGCTCGAGGACTGGGTCGGCACCGGGACCCCGCAGGCACTCCGCCCCGGAAGCCTCCCGCGCCGGGGCCGCCGCCGCGTCGATACGTGCCTGGCGCAAACCTGCCGTGCGGAACAAACAGCACCTCTGCGAGGACCCACCACAGATGTTGCCCCAAACCAGCAGCGGCCGTGGATGGGCCTGTTATCCACCACCACCACCGTGAGTGGAAGGCGTGAAGGAGGTGGAGGATGAGGAGGACGAAGAGGAAGAGGAGGAGGAGGAGGAGGAGGAGGAGGTCCCCCTCCCCCTCCCACTTCTGGTGGTGGCGGTGGAAAACAAGCTCACTGGCCGTTGTTGAGCAGGGCGGCCTCCTGTCTCAAACGGACAAAGCCCGCGGCGGCACCGACAGCGAGGCCCACTCCAAGTGGACAGGACAGGACTCGTATCCAGATCCGCTGCAGCTTGGAGTATTCGGGCTCCCTTCCCCAGACAGGGGGCCCAATGCGAACCCTATCCCTACCCCCCACGATCTCTGAGGGGGAGGGTGGGGTTCACTTTTTTCGGGAGCTCCCGGGCGAAGTGAACCCCACCCTCCCCCTCAGAAGTCGTGGGGGGTAGGGGTGGGGTTCGCATCTGGCTCCCTTCCCCAGAGCCCCGGGACGCACTGGATCCGGATAGAGATCGGGCCCACGGAGGCTCGATGTTATCCATGTCCAGTGCGCCTCCGCCTTGCGGCGCCCCTTTCCCCAAAAAAGTGCAAGACGCACTGGAGATGGATCTGGACCTGGATCCAGATATGTTTTACCATCTGTACATCACGTATACATGACCCGCAAGCTGCTGTCGGTCGTTGCCCCCGTGGCGCGCGGAGTGCGCCAGGGCGGTGCGGGATGCGCCGCCAGGAGGGGCGGGGCCAGCGTCGATCCAATAATCCCACGCAGACCTTCAAAACATCATGTTATGAAATGTATGTGAAATTCGAGATTGGACGCCCGAGATGTGTACGGATCTGCTGTCAGTCGTTGTCCTAATGACATCTGTCCGACCCCTTCCGTCCGTGCCGACCCCCAGCACCCACAGGTGCTGCCAGGGGCGTTGCTGGAGGTGCCGCCGGGAGGTGCCAGCGCCGACCGAAGAAATCCGCACGGGCCTCCGAAACCATATTCCTATGTCAGAATGAGGGGCCGCGCGTTCTTACAGAGAGGTATTCCGGGGAACACGTTGGAAACTGCCTGATGCTGAAATGATGATGAGCCGCTATTCCCAACGCTCTGGGCGAATGTGACTTAACGCATGTCTTCTTCCAACCCCGCTCTTCCGGTCGGAAAGGGGCTGCATCACTGCCCCGTACCAATCAGAGGCAGGGGGGCCGAACGGCCGAGCGGTCATCCACTGTCCCTGGGGTGCGTGCCCGACATGGGTTTCCGCGTCGAAGGCCCTTGTTGTTGCCTCCTGCTTGCTGTCTGTTGCTGTCATCGTCCTCGACGGCGACGCGCCCGCGACCCACCCGCGACCCGCCCGCGACCCAGCAAAACTTGGAGGCTTGGAAGTGGGCACCAACACCAACACGGGGGGTTGCCTCCACCTGGGCAAAACGACCCCAGATTCTGGTGTCGGTGGCAATCTTTCGGCCGCCTGGGAAGCCCGAGCCTTACCACCACCACCGAGATCGGGACCTTCTCCCCTCGGCGGAGGCACGCCGCCGAAATCGGTGTTGGCGCCAATTTCAGGGCCTGCGAAAAACCGTTCTGCCGACCGCTTTGCGCCCGCGGCAGGCTCGTGGCGGCCGCGCGTGAAAAACTCCCGGCGGGCCCGCGGCGGGCCTCGCGCGGCGGCTGCCGACGACCGCGCCGCCCCCCTCGTTCCTTTGCAAGCACGTCGTTTTCGGCACCCCCTGATCCCGAGGCTTCGCCGCCTCCTGGCCTCGCCGTGAGGCTGCGCTCCTTCCCTTCCCCCCTCTTTGTTAATTCAAGCTTCGCGCGTTCCGCTTAGCTTCGACCAGAAGAGGCGCGCTCTCGAGTCGCGAATCAATTATCCCAGCAAAGCAACCTAACAGCCATGTGTATGAGCATATATGGAAGCATTCGTATTTAGATTCATGTTCGGGAAGCGAAACGCTGCGATCAATAGTGGACTTGTCTGCAAAGGAGGCACTACTATCAACGAGACAGCACATTCTTTTTGTGCCCGTTCCAAACGAGACGCTGCTACGCACGGGTGTAGGTGCAAACGAGACGCTGCTATCAAAAGTAGACCACCAAAGCCAGCGGGGAGCGTCATAGGGGGCGGGGGCTCTGACGTCGATGAAAAAAGAAGGAGGAGACCGGGAGGCAAGGAACAGGCAGACGAAAGCCCTTTTAGGCTTTACCCGGCGTGTGGGCATGCCCTTTTTGGCTGTTGCGGGGGCAAACCCGCGCGGTCGCCCGCAGGCGACAGGGCGCCCTGGCCCTCTTCGTGAGCGCGCAGGCGCGTGGCGCACTTCATGCGCATGATTGCCCGCTGAAGCGCCCCGCGGCACGACAGCGACGGTAAAAGGACAATTTCGGTGACGCTGGAGCCCCTAATGCGACGAGGAATGCATCTTCTGTGGCACTGGAGCTCCACAGGACAAGTCAGCTCAGCCTGCTTCAGCCTCAGTCTGCATCAGCCTCAGTCTCAGCCTCAGCCTGCGTCAGTCTCAGCCTGCCTGCTGCGCTCCCGCATACCCCTTCGGCCTCAGCCTGCCTCAGCCTCAGCCCGCATCAGCCTCAGCCTCAGCCTCAGCCTGCCTCAGCCTCAGCCTGCTGCGCTCCCGCATACTCCTGCGGCCTCAGCCTGCATCGGCCTCAGCCTGCATCAGCCTCAGCCTCAGCCTCAGCCTCAGCCTCAGCCTGCCTCAGCCTCAGCCGCACCTCCGATGTGGCTCCCGTGCGTACCTGCACCCACGGAACTCACCTCCGATGGCGCCGAGGTGGCTCCCGTGCGTACCTGCGCGCACGGAACGCTTCTCCGATGGCGCCGAGGTGGTTCCCGTGCGTACCTGCACGCACGGAACGCACCTCCGATGGCGCCGAGGTGGCTCCCGTGCGTACCTTCACGCACGGAACGCACCTCCGATGGCGCCGAGATGGCTCCCGTGCGTGCCTGCACGCACGGAACGCACCTCCGATGGCGCCGAGGTGGCTCCCGTGCGTACCTGCACGCACGGAATGAGCTCCGCCGGATTCTCCCAGTTTCTGCCGGCTTCCGCCCGGACCCCCCTGGAGTGTCATGATGCTCTCTTTTGACCCTACTAGAAACCTATCAGCACAAGCTGTTAGGTAAAAAAAGTGTAAGGATCGTCGCGATGGGGTCCGAGCAGACGGTGTCGGCGGATCGCGCTGCACCGCCGATGCATCGCCGATGCATCGGCGACGTCGGCGATCTGTCGGTCGACGTCAGAGTAGAGAACTGAGGGATAATTTGGGCCCTGTATCGAGCCGCATCCTCGACGCATCGGCGATGCGGCGCGACCCTCCGACCCCATCTAGGA